CAAAAGTAGTTTTTTTACTTTTAAACAGACGTAAATTTAAATCAGTCATAAAAAAGTAATATTTGTTTACCATTTAAATATTAAATCAGCCGTAATTAATGTTATTTGTTTTAGTTGCCACGATTTTCTCCAAACTAAATTAACAACTACCATGATTTAAGGGCAACATTTAATGCTGCTCTATTTTTAGGAGACATTAAATGTATTTTGTGAGAAAAACTTGCTAAAAGTGTTAAATGGTTAATCTTTTAATATAACTAGTACAGAGCCCGTGCGATGCACGGGGTGCACAATTTTAAGGCTATTTATCCAGGCTTATAATTATATACATGAATAAAGAAAAATGTACGGGATATATATAGTACGTGACCCGTGCAAAACACGAGATATATTTATTTGGAGAATATTATATTATAAGATGCAATATTCAATAAAAGTTTATAATACGCAAGAAAATTGTACAATGTTCAATAAAAGTTTTATAATATTCAAGTGGAGTCTTAAAGTCTCTTGTACATTAAGACTACTGACAAAATAATATTTTAATCAATGAGTTTCCTTTCCTTGTAGCCAAATTGTGAATGTGATTTGAGAAGTACAACAAATCGATATATAGCTGACTTGCTTTTTTCATTGTAGTTCTTTTTCTTTTTCTTTTTTATAATGAATTTAAAGATATTCTAAAATATAGCAAAGGTTAATTTTTTTATTACAATTAGAAATTTTACTAAATATAAACTCTCAATCTATGGTGTTAATCAATGTTTAAGTCTAAAAAATTAAGAATTTTTACCTCTTTTAATCAACATTTAAGTCTAAAAAACAATAGAGTTATTATAAAAAAAATTTCTACATCTTCTAAAACATTCAATATGAGCATGTTAGGGCTAGCTTGTAAAATAATTAATATATTATCTCACTAAAACATTTATACTAATAAAAATTTAATTTTAGCATATAAATTTATCCCTTGATATAAGAGAAAGTAACAGTTTTACTTATTGTTGTTCACCATATAATATTTAATTATTATTTTATTATATAATAAAAAAANNANNG